TTTTATAGGTTCAAATAGACACAAAATCTCATTTTTATTCATTCCACTGGTAGTCTGTTTTGCTCAAATAGCAATAGAGGCCTGTCTCTAATTCTGGCCTGTTTCTAATAAAGGCCTGGACCGCGATGCACTTGAGTGAAATAAAGGCCCGGGCCTATATTAGAGGATTTACGATAGTTACTTAAAAATAGCACATTTCTGACAATGTGATGTAAGATAGGAGATCACTAGAAGCAACAAAACATTGGCCTGATTTAAAGAAATGTAACTACAGAAACCAAAAAGGTGGTGATATTCATGAGTCTGGAAGGGTTGCAAGCTCTTTATGAACACTCCAGGGAACCCAATGAGAGCCATGATGCACAAAGAGGACCGCTGCTGCACAGAGAAACCCTACACACTAAAATAAATGCTTAACCAATTAAATAAAATCAACTCTAAAAACAATGCCCACAAATTGTTTTAATCAAAGAACAGAATATGGCAACACTTTACCAAGCTAACTCGGGTTATCATACCTCCTCTGGGATGTGGTTACCAGGCATGGCAGCGATGCCCGTCATAAAGTCGCTGGTGATGAAGGTGCGGACGACGACAGAGCGCCGACATGAGGGCTGCTTCTGCAGAGGGTCTCTGTCAAAATGGAGGGGAGTGAGGATGACTGGCATCTGGCTGATCTTCCCTGAATAACCTGAAGGGAGAACAAAGATAGTCCAAGTTAAACCAAATGTTTTCTGGTTTTATTCCAAACCCAACATCTGTCAGAATAGAAGAAGGATATTAGACTGGTGACAACAGGACGGTTGACTAATTTATTTCTGAGAGAACACAGATTATATCCATTGCATTAAAGAGCAGAAACAGGTGCAAGGTTGAAAAAAGACAGAGGTTAAAAACCGATCTGAGGCTGAAGACCACAGGGCCCAAATCAACAACTTTTCAAATATAAATATATCATACTAAGCTTAGCCAAATATTTAAAATATTTGAGAGAAAAAATTGAGAAACACAGAATTCCTTGACAACCATTAGCTCAAATATCTACAGATTTCCACACATAGTTTAGTTTAAAATGGTGATTCAAAAATCTTCAAAAGATTCCTTTTAGTTGTGGGATTCCCAGAGGCTTACCAGACTCTCTGAGGATAGCGTGAGCTACAAAGTCCGCCTGTCTGAGCGTACTCAGAACACCGGTGGTCAGGAAAGTCGGGGTAATGTCTGTTGGCGGCTCCTTCACGTGAGACCCAAATATATACACAACTCTGGAAAAACACAGTGCAGGGTTTCAAAAAGTCTTTGAAAACATTGAACTTGAAATATGTCTGATGACTGAAGAAAATACATGCTTTTTTTTATTTATTTTTTTGATTACCTGTTAATGGTATGGCACATTCGAGGGATGAGTCTGGCCAGAAACATCAGTGATTCCCAGTGAGGAGATTCTTTACTTGTGACACCACACACATAACTGTAAGACCTGCAGTCTCCCTAAAGCAGAGAAAAAATTTGCTGTTTTATAGAATAGAAAATCCCCAATTGGTAAATTGTTGTGTTTATAGCAGCAAAAGGTTATAGTAGAAGTGTTCACACATTGTGCACCTTATAATAAAGGATTGATGAATAAATGGAATTAAATTACAACATACTTATAGAGATTCAAGATTAATTGAAAAACTTTGTTTTTTTATTTTCAGCCCAGGTAAAGAAAGCTGCCTGTGTTTAGGAATGGTATCCTGTCTGGCCCACAGCCTGTGGTTCCAGTTAAATTTAAACCTCTGGTGTGGAACAGACAGTGAAAGGGTACACCTACAGAAAAAACATTCTGTCACTGGCTGACTAGCAAAGTTTGAAGCAATTTAAAGCCACCCATCCTCCAGATGCAGTCAGCCGTTAGAAGAGGGCAGAAAAAGGAGAGAGGAATAATGCAATGAAAGAATGTGGTGGTTTTCAGTGGGTGTGTCTTGTGGTTGACGGCTAAATTACACTCTCTGCCTACAGAGACAAACAGCTGGCGGCAGACACTGTGTCACTGTGACTGCTTCTCTGAAAACATGTTAACTGTCCTACATATGTGCAATAGCTGACGTCTACCCAACCAAATGGCTGATATATAGTACTGTGATCTACTCATCATTTAGATGTTCAAAATGGCAAAAATAATTTTACAACCAGAATATCTTAAACCACCTGATTTATCCTTAAATCCCAGGATCATTAAGAATTAGACATTTCTAATTTAAAGCTGCACTGTGCAACTTTTAGCTATTCAGGGGCTCCAGACCCACAACTTCCAGGTTTAGCTTCCCCGGAAAAGAAACAGGCAGTGCTGCATTGTCCTAAAGTCAAACAGTCTCCCTTTCTGTTATGGAATCTGTTAGCAGATTGCTTTGGACCAACAGCTGAGAAATCACGGAGCTACGTGTAAAAATAAGAGCCCATTCACCTCTAGATTAAAACCTTAATCAGAGAACCTAAAATATGTCTGATAAGGTACGTTCCTAAGTTCTGTCTTTATTGGCTAACATCAGCTTAGAAATATAAGTCAGTAACCAAAACTTAAAATCTCAAATTAAGCTAATACTTGGGTCAAAGGTTGGCAAGAGTAGCAGGGTCAGCAGTCAGACCATAAAGTTAAAGGTTATCTCTTTTTTTTTTAAAAACAATATCAGGTAGAAAATGCAGTAGAATTATACACCTACAAGATTGATTAAAGTGCAGACTAGCGACTAATAAATAAAATTACTGAATTATTCAATCAACTAGGAGCATTATCATGTTGTGACCCACCTGGACACCAACAGTTTTAATGGGCAGCAGGAAGGCATTAAGTGAATGAAGGCTGGTGATCTTCATGAGCTTCTCCTCCTCTTCATCTGATATGCATGACTTCACTCTCTGGAGCAAGGCATGAGGCTGGCATGGAGGGAAACAAGCAGAATAAACAAGATGAAATGAAGAGACGGCAGTCAGCTAAGATGATATTTAGAAACTATTCTATCAAAAAACTTGCTTTATCCTTAAAATTGTTCAAGTAAATAATTAATTTGAGCTGACTTCTGAGGTACAGAAGAAAATCTAGCTCTAAGGAAAACACATCTATACCCTTTATTAACCCACAGTAGAATCAATAGACAACTAGACTGTTGCTCAAAAAGTTCCTCACTGACCTTTTTGACACTTGCAGAAAAATCTGTGACGATTTTGAGGATGTTGTTTGTTTCAGCAAAATCCTTACAAATATAAGGCTCCTCAGCACAAATCACTCTGATGGACAAACCCGGCCCTACAAAATGCAGAACAACCATGGTAAATTACTAACAAAAACAAAAACTTTAAATATTCGGTTATCGGTTCGGTTCATCTTTAAGACAGATTCAAACAGTAGTTGTTTACATAACACAAAGGATAAAATAAATCAGCATACAGTAAATGCAAGGATTAAAACAGTTTATCAGGCAGCATTGTATTGATCAGAAAAATGCTGTCTGTATATTTACTTACCAGGAAAAGGATGCCGAGAGACGATCTCCTCTGGCAGGCCCAACTCTCTTCCCAGCGCTCTCACTTCATCTTTATGGAAATCTTTCAAAGGTTCAATTACTTTTCCCTGGATGATAAAAAAAAAAGGCTTAAGATTCTCAAAGTTCTTACATTAAAGGCAGCAGATTTGTATTGCTTATTTATACTGTGTTGATAAAGCAGGAAATTAATTATTCCAATGCTGCTTAAAACAGTTTACTTCTATAAATCCAAGTTGTGTTCATTAGAAAACTAAGCTCACAGCAGCTGTTCAAAGTCCGGTCAGGTTGAGAGTTTGGGAGAGAACGTACCTCATCTCTGAGCTTGCGGATGAGTTCGGTGTCATTGTGATGCGTTTTGATGACCTCTGCCTTTCCGCTGGCAATATGAGAGGCACTCTCAATGAGATCCGGCCGCAGCGTGCCCTGCGCCAGGAAAACCTCCTCCGGGTTCAGGTTCATTTCTCCAAGAACTTCATTAGCCACCTAAGGAGTGACACAGAGCAGGATTGAAGAGAAATTAAATGTTATACAATAAAAAAACAAAAATAAAAAAACGCAATTAAAAGAGAATGATCAAACAGCTGTCGCTCACTTTAACAAACGTGTCTCCAATAATCTTCCTTTTCTCCTCAGGGTTGGTGGTCATATTCAAGGTCTTGCTGATGCGTTTCCGTGGCGTCCTGTCCTCCTCAGAAATGGGAAGAGTTGTTGTCCCGTTGTAAAAAGTGTGAGCTGCATTTACCACTAAAAAATAGAAAAGTGGTGCTTAAAAACAATACAATACCAATATCATAATATCATCAGGACATCTTGTTATATCCGTGTTAGACCCCACCCCCCTTTTTTTTTAAATAAGAGCATCCCATACGGTTTATTCTAGTTACTCGTTTCTGCTACTTTGGTTTAATTATGGCCTATAGTTAATGAGACCTGCAAGAAATCATAAGGTTTGCTCTCTTTAGAGAAATTTATGCAAACTACTATACTAAACTATTACTAAACTTCTGTCTGTCCATTTTATTTTATTTTTTTTATTATTGCTGTTTTATTGAAATGAATGAATAAAAGTACAATTAATTTTCTTTATAAAAAACAAGACTACAGTTGTCTTTCAGAACCATGTTGTTCTCAAACTACTAAAAGTCAAAGCTAAGGTAGCTCGCCATCAATGGGATGTTGTACAGAGAATATTAATGGAAAGTTGAGTGGAAGAAAAAAAATCACTAGTGACAAAGATACATACAACCTTGATTTGATTGTGAAGTAAAACATATGTCTGCCCTGTGAGAAGGGCCAATGCATGCCTAAAAAAAAAATCACAGTATCACTTTGCTCGACAGACTAGGTTAATCCTCTGACCTAAAACCTGTAGAGAACTTAACCAACATTGTCAAAAAAGACAAAGGGAGACTCAACAAGGTAAGGGGTAGCATTAACAGAACGTGGATCTCCTCACCACAAAGTGTTCAGTAAATAACAGTTTTGAATACAATTCAAAATCCTTTTAGGCAGAAGCTATGAACGCTTCCACAGAAACAACCTTAGAACTCGTCTCCTACCTTTGAGTTTAATACCCAGCTTGGTGAGGGCCTCCTCCACACTCTGACTCTCTCTCTTCCTCATAAAGCCATTATCGATGTGAACAGCAATCACCTGCTCCTGATTCAGAGCTTTGTTCAGTAGAGCTGTGCAAACTGTTGAGTCAACCCCACCACTCAGTAGCACCTGTGGATACAAAGAAAACACCATAACTTTAAAAGTGTTCTATAATATTCTGTTGAATATTTACTAAAGATTGCTTCCATCTGATGGCAGGCTTAAAATCACCAAGCACACCATTCTTCTCACAAAAAAACAGGATTCAACTTCTGCAGCTGAAACCACCCTCAGTTCTAGTCATTTCTTTTTCTTTGATACTTTTCTGAAAGAAGCCATGTCACTTACCAGAACTTTCGACGTGCCCACTTTTTCTCTGATTTCATTGATGCAAACCTCCTCCCGGTTGTGCACGGTGAAGTTACTCGTACAACCCGCGATCTCAAACAGGAAGTTCCGCAGCATCTCCATCCCTCGCTCCGTCAGGTCAACCTCAGGGTGAAACTGTGTCCCGTACAGCTTCTTCTGTTCGTTAGCAATCCCTGGAAAGGAAAACAGTGACGTTTTACAGCCAGAACCTAACTTGCTTTACTTTGAAAGGGTACATGAATAAAACTATTATGCAAAAAGAAAGTAATGTTTTACAATGGCACAGTCGTTTATACGTGCATATAGGCTGGGAAAAGGTTATCTTGAATGCTCCTCACCAGCAATAATGTTTCCTGACTGGGCCACCACTTTAAAGCCATCAGCCACTTTATCCACGCTGTCACCGTGGGTCAGCAGCACCAGTTCCTCCTTCTGAAGGCCTCTGATGAGAAAGACACACACAGGCATCACAGAAAGGTAAGAAGTGTTGGTTGATATGTGGTGCTATAGTTCATATTCGTCAATGTTTACATTGAAGAATAGACCTAGACAATAATTCAATATTGATATATATCAGGATATAATTTTATTCAATAAAAGTAGTATGAGATTTAAACACATTTCCAGTATTTTGATATACACTGCAGTCTGTGGTTACAGTACTAGTCATTGTAACACGGTGCTGCTCAGTTTTTTCTAAGCTCCAACACTTGAAGATTTGCTACAAAATGAGTGTGCATAGTAATGAGAGCAAATGTCCCATTTAGTTTCGACTGAGCTGAGATAAAGGTTTTGTTCAAATCTTAGTGTTGTCAAAGCTCGCTGTGCCTTAAAAAAATAAAAGGGCTGGGATCTGTTTTGCTTCTACTAAAAATGAGAGGTTCAAAACAAACAAAACCATTATTAACAAATATCACACCGTAAATAGAGACAAGAGCAGGATGATGTGAGAGAGAGGGGGAGAAATCCTGACAGGAAGGGTTTAGAAATACCCCAAAAATTATTCATTGTGAAGCTCTGCCTACAACTCCATGAGGGTTTATCAAAAGTTTTTTTTTATAATTGTTATTAAGGACCTTTAGTCTGTATATTCAGAGGTAGTTATGAGTTATTTGGTTAATTTAATATAGTGATTTGGGAAATTAGTCTTTGAAGCCTGAAGTTAATCATAAAAAAACTGAAAGAGGCAAGAAGGAAGAAGAGAATATAAGGCAGAAGAACATCTGTTGAGGTGCAGCTAAAAAAAAAAAATAATAATTGTACACAAGATTCACCAGCTTCAAAAATGCGTAAATTTTAGGGCTGCATCTAACGATTTTTTTGCTAACCGATTAATCTGTTGATTACTTTTTAAGATGAATCGATTAATAATCGGATAACAAAAGGTTCCTTAAAAACTATTTTTTCAAACCAGGTCAAACTAAATCTTTTCCACTTGAGGAGTTCTGGATGAAACATTTTGCCAGATGAAAAAGGATTTTTTTAATCATAAAGGCAAAATATTTAGATATACTTTTACAATTCTAGTATAATTACTGCTCTAAGTGGGTTACTCTGTCAGCTAAAGGCATGATTTTGAGCCTCTATACCCCAGTTAATAAATCGATTACTGAATTGGTTGACGATTATTTCAATAATCGATTAATCATGATTAATCCAATTGTTTCATGCCTTTTAAGTTCAGAAGGATTAAAAATAATTAACAATTAGGTCCCCATATTTTGTCTACATCAGTATAACAATGTATAGCAAATAATGATTTATAGAGTCAGTCATAAAAATTAATTTATATTAAAAACAACTCCCCACAATACCTGAAAAGGGAGCATGTGTTGTCCAGCGCAATGTTGAACACGCCATCCTCCCTTACACTCTTTTTGTGGACCGTCCCACCAAAAACTTTATTCATCATCTGTAGCAAACAAACACATCTGAGTTAATCATTTTACACTGACTTTTTTTTTATACGTGTGATATAAAGGCAAAAGAATTTTTTTTGAAGTACTGTACATTTTCAGAGAGAAAAGACGTAATTATATTTTCCTTTCTTAAGAAGAGGTAAATAGCAGCAGTTATAGGTACCTGCATTCCATAGCAAATCCCAAGGACTGGCTTCCCTATGGTGAATATGGCTGGGTCAAACCAGGGGGCATCTTCTGCATACACAGAAGCCGGACCTCCTGAAATAATGATCGCTCTGAGGAGTGAGATGGAGAAGCAATCAGACAACGTTACAACATTACAGCACCTCTAAGCTTAGTCGACAGAACAAAACAGAAAAAGGAAAGAAAAAGCCTCTTTTCTCACCTGTAACCTTGTTCTCTGATTGCAAAGCCTGGGGTCTCCAAAGGGAGAATCTCTGAGCGGACACACAGCTCCCGCACCCGTCTGTCAATCACCTTCCCGTACTGTGCGCCTGCATCCAGGATGGCAACCGCCCCCTCAAATGATCCATTCTGCTCTGTGGTGCTGATCTCCAGCTATGGATGCACAGTTACACAGATAACGGCTCATCTGTTTCATGTATTCACAGAGGGACTCGTATGGAGAAGTTGTTAAAGAAATGCACAGTTGAAATGTGCGAATAGTATGCTGGTAGGTTTGCACGAGTAGAAGCACAAGGAAGCCAATTTCTAAACCCTTTCCTGAGTGCCATGAAAATGTGACTCAATAAAAGGCATAACGTGATTACAAACATGTGAGCTACAACCTAGACAGACAGGCACTCTTTTGAAACGTGCTGCAACCATTCAGAGAAAGGAAAATCACATGAAACCTCAAGCTAGTCAAGGGTTATTAGCTTGATCAGCTTCTTAAATTAACATTTTTTCCCTGTGAACACAGAGCATGAATAGGCAGCGGGGTTATAGTTCTAGGATTTCAAGTAGAGATGTTACAAGAGAACTACCAGAGTAAAAATAAAAAGAAATGACATAACATCACAATGATAAAAGATCTATGGTAACTCTGGAGGAGCTGCAGTGATGCTCTGCTCAGAAAGCAACCCAAACTGTTTGGCCTACATGCAAAACACTATGCGAGTTGAAAAACCAACACTGGAGATTAATCTGAACACAGCATCAACACTGTAAAACATGGTGGTGGCAGCATCCTGCTGTGAATGGCCTTTTAATTGAGCATGGATCTGAGTTTGGGTTGGCCTAATACATTATAATTCCATTATAATACATTATAATTGTTTTCCAGTGTAGTCCTGTTTCTCTGACTGTGACTGGCTGGATTTGCTCCCTTCATCCTCTGACCTTCAGAGCTCGTCTGCCTGGCTGTGTGTTTCCTGGTCAGGAATTTAAAGTTGCTTTTTGTATCTCTGCTTCTGTCTCCTTGAACCCCAGTCGGCCACGGCAGATGGCCGCTCACACTGAGCCTGGTTCCGCTGGAGGTTTCTTTCTGTCAAAAGGGAGTTTTTCCTCTCCATTGTCGCTACAAGCATGCTTAGTGTGAGGGATTACATCCCAGTCAATGAGTCCATGCAATCAACTGGTTTTCCTTAGATGGAAAACTTTGAATCAATTTGATTGGATGAGCCTTGAAATGACATGTGTTGTGAATTTGCACTTTATAAATAAACTGAATTGAATTCCAATACTTTAAAAAGTACTACGCTGTTAAAATTCGACCATGGTTTTTTTCTTTCCTTGCGGATCTTGACAAATGCTGGACAATTTTGCCATTTGTTTTTATTCAATTGAGGTCCTACAGTGATGGAAGTAGCACTGAATCAAATGCCAATGATAACAAAAACAGACTCGTGATGAGCGGCAAGACAAGAAACAACCCACGTGGAAAGTGAAACCTTCATTTTCCTTCTCCAAATGTACGTTTTGCAGTTTATTTTAATTGTCTAATGTTAGGATGCACACAATTAAACATGAGCCAGAGAGATGTGTGGGGAAAACTACTTTAAAAAAAAAATAACCGTTAACATCGCAGTGGTAGTTAGAGTTCCAAGTTTGCTCAACTAGCTTAGAATGTTAGCAAACTGATAGACGTTATTTTAACTGAAACTATGTGACAGCGGTCATGCAAAGTCAACGATTCAGCCAAAAAGTTAATTTGACAGCTTCCAATCCGGACCGAATGCGAGAAAAACACACATCCCTCCGTTAGCTGTGGAGTCCGGTAACAGTTTGTGCTCGGCTAAAGCTTGCTAGCGTGTAGCGAGCTAGCGAGGAGGAATCAAACCGTCGTGCTGAGCGTTAGCCTGTTAGCAGAACGGTTAACGGGGCTATGCTAGGAACCCACGGCGTCCACTGGGCTGCTAGGACCCACTCGAAATACACGCAGACGGTGGGGAAAATATGTGACAGACTTCCTTCATGTCAGATATCCCTAATATAACCCCGTAGCTGTCAGGCAGCCATGACCGTTGAAATGTAAAACTGCAACAGGCTCAGAGCGGAGCGACTGGTCCTCCGCGGGGCTGCTGGTAACATGCTGACTAACTTTCCCCCCTTTCGGAGCACAGAGGCCGTCAGGGTCTAAAACCGCGGGCACTTCGGCTTCACTGAGTGGTCACCCGGACCGCTCGGTGTTAAAGTATCCCATCCACTGACCTTGCTCTCTCCGTTGCACAGTGCCATGGGGGACTGCCGCCGTGTTCGGTGGTGAAAGCGCTCCCCTTCTTCTCGCTGTCCCAGGTCTCACACTGAGAGAGAGCGCTGCTGGATCAGCACGCCGACTACCGTTGGAGAGGCAGACTGAGCGGAGGGAGCAGCGGAGGGACTCTATCTACTCCTCCGGACGGGGGATGAATTTCCTCTGTGGGGCCAGACTAAACTGTCTCATGGGTGGAGCGCAAAGTGAAAATCAACAGATAGTAAAGTGGGATAATAGTCCCTGTAGGGATGGGCTTACAACGTTAGACTCAGCCTACAACCAATAGAGAAACATATAATACAGTTATAACTTAGATATAATTTGTAATTCTGACTTTAATGTAAGAATTCTGACTTTAATATAGGAATTCAGACTTTTTTCTCACAATTCTGACTTTAATATCAGAATTCTGACTAATATAGGAATTCTGACTTTTTCTCACAATTCTAACTTTAATACAAGAATTCTGACTTTATTCTAAGAATTCTGACTTTAATATAAGAATTCTGACTAATATAGGAATTCTGACTTTTTCTCACAATTCTAACTTTAGTACAAGAATTCTGACTTTAATATAAGAATTCTGAATTTAAATTTTGAATTCTGATTTTTTTCTAACAATTCTGACTTTAATACAAGAATTCTGACTTTATTCTAAGAATTCTGACTTTAATATAAAAATCCTGAATTTAAATTTTGAATTCTGACTTTTTTCTAACAATTCTGACTTTAATCTAAGAATCTTGACTTTTTTTCTCACAATTCTGATTTTAATATCAGAATTCTGACTTTAATATAGGAATTCTGACTTTTTTCTCACAATTCTGACTTTAATATAAGAATTCTGACTTTAATGTAAGAATTCTGACTTTTTTCCTAAAACTATGAGTTTAATCTCAGAATTCTGACTTTAATCTATGAATTCTGACTTTAAATTTAACATTCAAACTTTAGTCTTATAATTCTGACTTTTTTTAGTCTTATAATAATTCTGACTTTTTTCTCACAATTCTGACTTTAATCTAAGAATTCTGACTTTTATCAGAATTTTGACTTTACTCTCAAAATTCTTACTTTTTCTCACAATTTTGACTTTAATCTCAATATCCTGACTATATTCTAAGAATTCTGACTTTAATCTCACAGTTCTGACTAATCTCACAATTCTGACTTTTTTCTCACAATTTTGACTTTAATCTAAATTTTGACAAGAATTCTGAGAAAAAAGTTAGAATTCTGAGATTAAAGTCAGAATTTTGAGGAAAAAATGACTTTTTTCTCATATTATACTGAACTAAGATTTAAAAATACAAAAAAATGGCCCTAATCCTCTTCCGTAATTTAGTAATCATAACATTTATTTATTTATTTATTTTGCACTAAGTTGGAGCAGAAAAGTAGCATATATATTCTTGATTTACTTTAATCAGTTGACGGCAATGTGAGGCTTCATTTGGTCATCATAAAAACGTCTAATTAGGTGCATTAGGCCTGAAAAAGGGGAGATAATTCAAGAGCTTGAGTAGTTTTCCAATGAATTATAGCGAGTAAAGACTTCAGGACAACGATTCATATATTTCTGCCATAATAATAAACAATAGTGACTTCATAGAACTTTTCTAGTAGGCTATATGAGTGGTCTCCTCCTTAGTGTATAATGTCTTCTGTACCATTTATTGTTTTTAGCTGACTATATTTCAACAAATATCTCTCACATCTATAACAGCTGTTATTTTTAACATTCATTTTGTTAATGTTATAATTTTCATGTTCATGTTGACAAAATGCATTTGGTGTAGGGATGCAATTAAATATTATTTTGCAAATTGATTAATTTTTCAATTTTATTTGATCAATTGATTAAAAATCAGATAGCCAAAGGTTCCCTAAAGAACTTGCAGAATTACACTGGTTAAAACTAAAAGCTTTCCACTTGAGGAGTTCTGAATAGGGCATATTGAGAGACGAAAAAGTTTAGTTCTATCTTAAATTCAAAATGTTTATATATTTTGTTATAATTGTGATATAATTACTGCTCTTAGTGGATTGCTCTGTCAGATAAATGTATATTCTACAGTCTCTACACTCCATTTAGTGATTAATCTATTACAAAATTAGTTGACAATTATTTCAAAAAACGATTAATCACAATTAATCCGATAAATTTGTTCCATTTTATTTTGGTGTAACAACCTCTTAGCTGGTCATCATGTATAAGTAAAAAATAATTAAAACAACAAGACCTACTTTCTACCATTAAGAGAAGTTGCCATCCACTTCAAGGTTAAAAATACACTTTTTTTCCCTTCCTTTTATCTTTTTCCTGAATGTAAAAGGAAACCTACAAACCAAAACAGTTCACTTTTTTGTTTCAATTATGGGTATACTCTTCAGTTTTGGAAACATGATCAGCACTTTTTACACATTTTCAAAAAGAATGTTTGGAATCCAACCTGAAAAGAAGGAAAAACAAAGCGGAAACCTCTGTGGTGAGATATGACGATAACAGCCCCATCATGTGGAACATCTCACAAACAGCACTTTAAAATCAGTCGCCTCAGGAGGTTCTAGTGTCTGATCAGATCGTGTTTATCTACGGTTCCAATCAGAAGACCCTTAATCCTTATTTTAGGCTCATGTTAAAGTCTAAGCTGAGACAAAGCATCACTTCATCTACTGAAATCGGGACAGTGTGTTTTCTGTCTAAATTGTAATGGGTCTCATGGAAGTTTGCAGCCTTAATAGTTGTGTAAGTCTCTCCAAAATCCCAACATCGGCCTCTTGGATCAAACGTGCTTTAAACATATTCAGTTTGCTTCCTCCTATGAGATGATTATTGATCTTTTCTTTAAACTGTTGTTATTTAAAGAGTGTTCTTTTTTGATGTTTAGTTTTTGGGCTCATTTTGCTTTTCCTAAAAGTAAACTGAAATACAAACTCATCCAATCTAGGAAGATAAGGTTTAATGCCAACACCTGCACTTTGCAGAGTGAATGCAGATACGATTTTGTTAAACAAACCATTTTATGTGTTAGTTTTTATATATGTTCCACAATAGGTGATCCAAGTGGAATGATTCTTTCTGGAATTATTTTGTTCAAATAAATTGTAAATGTGTAATATATTAAATGATTCAATGGGATAAATCACTTATGGTTTTCTGTCAATGCAAATCATCATAAGTGTGAGCGCAGGTTACTCACTAGCTTTGAGCCTTGAAGTTCTTTCAGATGCAACACCTAACAGAAATAAAAGTCTTGAATAAGAAACTTGAATTTGATGTATTTCTTTAGCGAATTCTTAACTTCTTATCTAAATAAATTCCTATGTGCCGGTCAAAAGACTGTGATGCTCCTAAGGCTTGCATCTTCTGTTCTGACGTTCTTCATGTGTCCTGACAGTTCCACACCAAACCAGCAGCCCATCAAATACAACACAGTAGTTAAATAAACATATATTAAACTAAATACATTCCTATATTACTAAATATGAACAAAATAGTTCTTACACTCTTAAAGTAACTCAAACTCTGCAAAACATAAAAAACGGCTCTAACAATAAGAAATTGATTTGCAAAAAACTGACAGAAAGCTGATCTAAAAATGTCTGAAAAATTAGTGTTTTTGTCCTTGAATTGAGCAGGTAAATTAGACAATCTACAGATGGAATGGATATGTGTTGTTTTTTTATCACCTATTATTCACTTAAAATAAGATTATAGACATTTGTACTTATGTAAAATGTATCATCTTTTTCTATTGGTAAGTTGTTTTACCTGTCTGCTCAAATCAAGGAAAAATATACTTCTAGCCAGAAAAGATGACAAATTTTAATGTTTGTAGTGTAGGATTCCCGTAGAGCTGCCCGGAGCAGCAGGGGCCAGGAGCAGCTCTATAGGGGTGGGGGCCCCTGTTGGCCACCTTCGAGAACCGACCATGTTCCTGAGATTCAGGGGGTCTGTTTCCAGTAAGATATTTCAGTTGGTTTCATTTTATCACTACATGTTTAATTTATTTATTTATTTATTTTTTTCTTTATAAAAAACTTGAATTGATCTAAGTAGATCTGGTTGATGCATGAACATGTAGGGTAAAACATGTAAAGCAAAGCTGTCTTGTAATGGCTAATAACTTATATCTCAATCAGTGATGGTAAATGAGTGACAGCTTTAGGTTTGCCTCTTCATCACATGCTATGGCACTCTGATATGCCTGTGTGTTGTCACATGTTTGCTGTTGGGTTAAGCGACTTCACATGAGCTCAAAGTAACCCACAAGGCAGAGCATGTCGTTATTCATTACCTCTTAATTTAATGGGAGGTCATGGGGGCAGGATGGACCTAAGAGACACAGTCTGCTTAGAATTAAATCACTGAATGGTTTTTAAATAACTATCCCTCTGCAACTGCTAGATTAAGACAGAAATGTATTCAAACAATGGCAGATTCGAAATAGAATCTGATTATTTGTCCAATAGTTATTTTTTTATTTTAACTAACCAGATCTGATGTAGAGCTAAAGCTAACTATATGGGAAGAAAAGGAATGGATCCCTTTTATTGTCTCACGTGGGAGCTCTCATTGGTTGCTGGACCCTTTATTAGTATTTTCTTTCTTTGAAAAAAATAAAGCTTTCAAAAGCAAAAAAAATAAAAAATAAAATAGCCAATTTAAAATAAAGGTCTCACTGTGGCTATAGGGAAAATATATATGGAATTTTTACTTTACATGACAGTTGGTATAAAGTCATGTTGAATATTGTTTGTCTGCTGCATCAGATATCCTGTTTTATTTTAATTTAACGAGCAAAGAACCCTCAATTGAGATGAAGGAAGGAAGGAAGGAAGGAAGGAAGGAAGGAAGGAAGGAAGGAA